TGTATGTATGTATGTGTGTGTGTGTATATAAAGAGGAAGTGGTCGGAGAGAGTGGGAGGAGAGGAGGGAGGGAAACTGTGGTTAAGATGTAAAATAAGTAAATAAATTTAATTAACACACACATATTAAAAGAGTACACTGTTGGGAGCTGTGTGGCCTAGTTTCGAACCAGTATATGTGTGCTTGCCCCATGGGTCTCCAGAGAGGCAAAGCCCACGGGACAGTCTCACTCAGCAAGGACCAGTGAACTTTGGGATAGCACAGAATACTGCTGGGACCACATAGTTTGCACTCTCTTTTCTCTCTTGTAATATTGGTGATTCTCTTGGTGGTTTTAGTGTCATTTTTGTCAATCATGCACGGGACAGATGTGATCATTCCTGGAAGCCCCTTTTTTTCTTGAATATTTTCCCTAAAATTCTTTGGGAACTGATGCTTCTCAGATTTCTTGTCAGGGGATGTCAGCTGTCCCTTTAGACCCAGGAGCTGTTCTGATTCAGTGCTGACAGGATCAGAGGCAGACCACCCTATTTCTGTAAATATGTTTTGAACAGCAGTATTCTTGGAAATGTGTGCCTATGTCAATCACCTTTTAGTTTTGTAAGGACAGAATGCACCTGGCTTGATATTTTGCTAGCAAAATGGTAAATGTTGGTTTTGATTTAAAGATATTTTGATGTAAAAGTTGGAAAAAAACATTTGACTGTTTTTTGCTAGAGGTTAACGTTGGAGGATGGGAAAAACTTGCTTGTTAGTATGAAAAAACAAGCTTGTTTTTAATGTATAAATAAAGAGGGCTGGACTTATTCTGGGCCAGCCACTTTTGTGAAACTCATCTGGTGGTCAAACAATTCATTTCTTTGCTCTTCCCTGTCTCAGGACCTGTACCCAGGCTGTGGAGGGACCATGGCTGTAACCCTTTAATCACAGCACTTGGGAGGCAGAGGCAGGTGGATCTCTGTGAGTCTGAGGCCAGATTGGTCTATGGTCTACAGAGTTAGTTCCACAAAAGCCAAGCCCACACAAAGATACCCTGTCTCAAAACAAACAAACAAAAGAACACACACACACACACACACACAGGAATTCACAACAGATACAACCTTAGACCTGAAAATTTCTAAACTTCTGAATTTGTACAACTTACAGAGGTTCTGCTTAGGGTTGCTCATTGTTCAACAGGGCTGGACTTGACCACAGCTCAGCTCCCCAGGGGCTTCCAGTGTTAGATTCTCCTAGTTAATGCCCCACCAAAGACCCATACCAAGAACCAAAGAACACCTGGTGATGAGTCACCTGACTCGGTCACTTTTACCTCCTGCCATCTTACACTGGTTGTGGCTGCTGTAACCCAGGCTGCAGACAAGGCAGTGTGCACAGAAATCTGTACCCTCATGCAATACTGGGGGCTGAAGTCTGTGTATAAAAATCAACAAGCCCCTGTCGCCTTACTTCCAGCCTTGATGTTCCGTGGCTTGTGACATCATCCCATCTCTATTTGTTTGCTGTGTCCAAATTTCCTTTTTTTTTTTTTTTTTGGTAAAGACACCCCTCCTACTGAGACCCCCACGGTTACATTCTGAAGTATTGGGGGGTGGTCAAAACTTTGACACCTGAATTATTTGGGGATAGATCCAACCCCTAAGACTGCCTGGAAAGGGTAGAGCCATGACACAACATCACGGTTGTGCTCACTTGAAATGACAAAATGCCCTTCATAGAAGGCAGTTACACTAGATGGAACCCTTCCTTCAGGAGCTTTCTTATGGATCCCCATGTTGCCCCTTTGGGCAGGACAGAAACTTAGTCACTTTTTTCTCTTTTCTTTCTGGTGACATTGGAGATGCACCCCAGGGCCTCATGTATGCTAGGGAAACATTTTATCACTGAGCTATATATAACCACAGCTCTTTCTTTTCCTTCTAAATATAGAACAATTCACAAATTTGTAGATAATCCTTGTGCAGAGACCATACTAATTTTCTCTGTATCACTCTAATGTTGCTAAAGCAAGCACTCTAGCCCTTGTTCTGTTTTTTTTTTTCTATCATATATTACATCTCAACCACAGTTTCCCCTCCCTCCTCCCCTCTCCCCCAGATATACTTTTTGTTTCTCTTCAGAAAAGAGCAGGTTTTCCAGGGATATGAACCAAACATCACATAACAAATTACAAGATTAAGCATAAACTCTCATATCAAGGCTGAATGAAGGAACCCAGTAGGAGGAAAAGGGTTCTAAAAACAGGCAAAAGAATCAGAGACAATCCCCATCCCACTGTTAGGAGTCCCAAGAACACCAAGCTACACAACCATAACATATATGCAGAGGCTGCTATGAGCCCCTACGACCCCTGCTTAGTTGATTTTGTGGGTTGTGTTCTTATGGTGTCCTTGAGCCCTCTGAATCCTACAATCCTTCATGCCCCCTCCTGCATGATTCCCCTGAGCTCCACCTAATGTTTAGCTACGGGTCTCTGCATCTGCTCCTGTCAATTGCTTGATGAAGTCTTTCTGATAACCACTGGGCTAGGCTATGGTCTATGAGTATATAGCAAAATATCAATAAGAATCATTTCGTGGGGCTGGAGAGGTGGCTTAGAGGTTAAGAGCACTGACTGCTCTTCCAGAGGTCCAGAGTTCAATTCCCAGCAACCACATGGTGGCTCACAACCATCCCTTATGAGATCTAGTGCCCTCTTCTGGTGTGCAGTTATATATGGAAGCAGAATGAAGAATCATTTCGTTGACTTTTTTTTTTTTTTTTTTGCCAGTCGTGTTTGGTTCTATCCTAGGTGTCTGAGCTATGCAGCCTCTGGTTCCTGGCCATCCAGGCAGTGTCGGGTGTGGGCTCCCTCTCATGGCATGGTCCTCAAGTTGGACCAGTCATTGGTTGGCCACTCCCACAAGTTCTGTGCCACCATTACCCCAGCACATCTTGCAAACAGGACAAATTGTAGGTTGAAGGTTTTGTGGCTGGGTTGATGTCCCAGTCCCACCACCAGAAGCCTTGCCTAGTTACAGAAGATGGCCAGTTCAGGATCTGTATCACCCGTTACTAGGAGTCTTTACTAGGGTCACCCTCATATATTCCAGGAAGTTTCCATTGTATTGGGGGGGCCTGAAATGCCCCTCAATTTCAGTAGTCTCTCCCAGTCCTCTGTCCCTCCACCCCACTTCCTCTCCCGCACCTGATCCCTCCTGTTCTGATCTTTGCTATTTCCCCTATGCACCAACATCCCAGGTTTAGTCCTTTACTTCTCTGCATCTGTGGACTGTAGCATGACCACCCTTTAATGACAGGTAATGCGTGGTGGTGGTGGTGCTTACTCTTCGTTTTTGTTTTGGGGGTTTTTTGTTTGTTTGTTTTTCTGGTTTTTCAAGACAGGGTTTCTCTGTATTGTTTTGGAGCCTGTCCTGGAACTCGATCCGTAGACCAGACTGGCCTCGATCTCAGAGATCCGCCTGCCTCTGTCTCCTGAGTGCTGGGATTAAAGGCGTGTGCCACCACTGCCCAGCTACTCTTTGTTTTTTGAGATAGGGTTCCAAACTCTTAGATCCTCTAGCTTCAACTTCCTGAGAGCTGGGATCACAGATATGCACCACCAGGTCCATCGTTCTCTTTGTGACTGAATAAATGTATGTCAGCCGCCCCCTCCCAAGCCACCACATGAAATAACCTGTCAAATATCTTCAAGGAGAAGCTGGGATCACAGCTCACACCCTCACCCCTGCAACACCCCACACACAAAAGAAAACAAAACAAAGCAAGCAAGCAAACTCTTTACTTCTCCCTCTTTCCCACCTCTGCAACACTCTTCATTCGTCCTGGTGGCACCAGGGACCTTGGTGTGTCATATAGTATACCCTTTTTGTCCTATCAGCGTAACTAAC